ACGTTATTGCTCTTCTAAACGCTTTTTTATGAAAACTTACTGTTTTTTTTTAATTCTAATCTTTGCAGATTACAGCTTGATTATATCAGATTAGAAAATGGCTCAGTTGGACTATTGCTCTCTGCTAAAGCAATTGTTCAGCTTATTTGCAACCCTTTAGTTGGAATTTTGACAGAGCGAATTGGTTACAGACTTCCGATATTTTTGGGAATGTTGCAGTTGTGGTTGTCGTCATTTCGTAAGCATAATTATTAATTATAAAACATTCTAAATTTAGAGCATAAGAGTGCTATGGTTTTTTTAGTAGTTCACTTCAAAGTTTGAATTCCATTCGACGGGCTCCGTAAACCTAATAATAAACCTAAACCAACCAACGTCGGTCAAAAAGATCGTTTTTAAACTTAGACATTTTTATGCCTTGAAATAACATTTTCAAATAATATGACAATTCTAAGAACTTTCAATTATTTTTTTCAATTTTCCGAAAAAAAATATTAAGTGACCTTACCGCGGTCGGTCAATTTGACCGGTGGGAAATAATGTTATGCAGATTATGAAAAATATACCAAATGAACCAGACAAATTTAGACTGAAGTTCTGGGCGGATTGTGAATTCAATAGTAAATTTTTAATAAGTGGGCTTTAAAAATCATTCACAAATTTTAAAGAAATTTGTATAAATCCAATTTTACTACTCTCACATGACTCTCACGGTGTAAAAAGGTAAACCGTAAAAAGACTTGTCCCTGGTTTCGAACCTTATCCAATAGAAATAGGAGAAAGCAGCAAAAGTGTTCCGAAAACTGTTAGAATTTGTATTAGCACATTGTTCGATGAAAATGTGGTGGACCAGATTGCAAAAAAATGTAACATAGGGTCGAAAATTTGTAGTTGGTATATTTCAACATTTTGATCCTACTTGGAAAAAAGCGTAAATTAAGTATAGAGAGACGACGAGTAAAAGCATTGTTATAGTAATCGCAAAAAAATCGAAAATAAAAATTTTTATATATCTTTACGTTTCAAAGGTTTTTGAATATTTTGGCATACCTTAGAAAAAATGGATGTATGTGTGTGTGCGTGTATGTGTGCGGATACAAATTTTCGTCGACAATTTCGGGAACACGGATTTGAATATTTCAAAAAACATTCGATTCGTATTGATAAGGAGACGTGCTGATTAGTTTTTGGCGAAGGCAAGTCTAACCGTTTCGAAGATATGGGGCAAAAAGTGCCAAAAACGGTAACTCAGTTTTTAAGAGAACGGAGCGCACGATTTGAATTTTTTTTTTATTGAATTATTCAGAAAACATTTTACTTGTATTAACAAGATGAAAAACTGATCAAATTTTCATGAATGCAGGTCTAGCGGTTTCGGAGATCTAGTAAAAAAAGTAACAAAAAATGCCATTTGGCGGTCAAAAATGATCATTAGACATATGCACATCAAATTATCAGATATTTTATAGAGATTTTGACAATAAGTATATAGTATAGGAGCCAGCAACGTTTTCAAAACAAGCATTTTAGTCAGGCTGGTTTTTTGGTATGTGGTCCTTGATGCTCTCTCGGTTAGGGTACGGGCCGTCTGGCAGCTGGAAGTGGTTGCGTTAATTAGTGCGCAGCCAATTTGTACAGCGCGATTTCAAAATTTTGAAAGCATTTTAGTCAGTCCAATTTTCGTTTTTTTGACTTCGAATAGGTTCACCAGACTCAAATTTTTTGTTGCCAGACATTTTGGGCGCTGCTAAATATGTGCCAGACGCCAATTTATTTATTAATTTTTTTAAAAATTCAAATCATTTTAGTCCGTCTGAAATTTTAGTATTATGTTCGTTAATGGTAAAAACACGTAAAATTAATTTGCCAGACGTTTCTGCGGTTGTTAACCATGTCTGGCAAGCAAAAATGTCTGGCAATATGATACTAGTTTATAGCATTTTAGTCAGTCCAATTTCCATTTTTTGACTTGATATTTGATATGATAACTTGAATAAGTTATCCAGATTCACATTTTTGTTGCCAGACATTTTGGGCGCTGCCAAATATGTGCCAGACGCCAATTTATTCATTAATTTTTTTTTAATTTCAAATCATTTTAGTCCGTCTGTAATTTTAATATTATGTTCATTAAGGGTCAAGAAACATAAAATTAATTTGCCAGACGTTTCTGTGGTTGTTAAGCATGTCTGGCAACGAAAAAAGTTTGGCAATATGATACTAGTAGACAGAGTGAGACAATCGCCAAATACATTGGCACGAATGAAACAAAAAACTATTAAACTCGTAAGAGCGCAATACGTATACTATTCAAAGTTAGTGCAATTTCAATAACATTTTCATAAAACAAATAAAATAAAGTTAAATAAAACCCTAATTAGAAAAGACAAAAATTGCATCATATTAGTCATTTTTTTAATTTTACTAGCTCTAAAAAATATGTTAATGATTCTAAAATATTGCTGTTAATATTTTCAAAAATTTGACTCGACAGTGGTTAAGTAACATCGTCAATTTCCTAAGAATATCATATATTTTAAGTTTTGCAATGAGAACTGACAATAATCATTATTTTTGTAATACGCAATTTTTTTTTTATCGCAAAGTTAACTGAGTCAAATGACTTCATTTTACATGGTACTTAGCTTTAGCAGCAACTATTTGTAACACATAACTATACTTAATACTGGTAATACTAGTTTTGCTACCTTACTAGTTCAAGCTACCCCTAGAATAGAATCTTAAAATTCTAGTATATATACAATATATATTGTACAGCAAACATCCTCCGCTCTTTTTTCTTTCAGCTTTTAGCTGTAAATTGAGCAATGTTTTTTAAAAATCAAAGTGTATTTAATAATTCAAAAATTCAAATGAGATCATTTTAGATCAATATGTATCACTATTTATAATGATAGTCATTCGACCTAGGTCTCTTAAATCAAGATTATAATTGGGAATATCGTTTTTTTAACGACGAATAAAAACGTCTATTATACAGATTTATTCGTCTTATGGCTTAATGATACAATAATACAGTAATGTAGCTACAGTTTATCTTCCTTCTCATGTGTTGGTACTAGAAACTGGCACATTTATTCAATATGATAACAGTTTAAGCACTTTGGATGTTATAACACGCCTCGCATTTATTTATAGATAATTATTTCGATTAATTCCTTCAAAACAATCAGGTATGCGACCCTCCCACACTGGGACAATAATACTACAATGTGATATATCAAAAGACTCATTAAACTCATCTATCCAACACAAATCAATGGATTTTTATTTTTCACTCATAATTCACCTTCGATGATGTATTTATAAAGGCTGCATAATATGAGAAATATGAATTTTTTAACTTTCCAGATGGCAATTTGTAAGAAACGGTGATTCTAAAGAAAAATGGTATAAACACAATTTTGCAGAGAAGTTTATAACAAACACATCTGTCTAATATAGTTACTTGATTTTTCTTATAGTTTTCTGCCTAGTAAACGTATAGCGCTCTTACGAGTATAATAGTTTTTTGTTTCATTCGTGCCAATGTATTTGGCGATTGTCTCACTCTGTCTACTAGTATCATATTGCCAAACTTTTTTCGTTGCTAGACATGCTTAACAACCACAGAAACGTCTGGCAAATTAATTTTATGTTTCTTGACCCTTAATGAACATAATATTAAAATTACAGACGGACTAAAATGATTTGAATTTTTAAAAAAATTAATAAATAAATTGGCGTCTGGCACATATTTAGCAGCACCCAAAATGTCTGGCAACAAAAAATTTGAGTCTGCTGAACCTATTCGAAGTCAAAAAAACGAAAATTGGGCTGACTAAAATGCTTTCAAAATTTTGAAATCGAGCTGTACAAATTGGCTGCGCACTAATTAACGCAACCACTTCCAGCTGCCAGACGGCCCGTACCCTAACCGAGAGAGCATCAAGGACCACATACCAAAAAACCAGCCTGACTAAAATGCTTGCTCGAAAACGTTGCTGGCTCCCGTACTAATATATTTTGTTTACAATCCTATGGGTTCCATACCATTGTTTATCCGTTAGACAGCGACGCGGCGCTTGCGCGCTTCGATATTTCGTCTCTATGCAGTTAACGATTGCTTTGAAAAAAAGTTTAGAGTTTCCAAAATATTTCAAAATACTCATTTCTTCAAAAAGTCTTTTTTTTTAAAAAAAAGTAATTGTTTGTCAAAAATTTATAGTTTCTCAAAAATCTAGTTTTTTCATAGTAATTTTGTTTTCAAAAATGTTAATATTTAAAAAAAAAATAATAAGACACGATGCCATGCGCCCCACTAGTTATATATTTTTTTCAAATCGACGATGCATATTCAAAATCATTTTTATTAACATCATTCATCAATCACTTTTTGTGTGAATGAAAAACTTTTTTTGTGAAAGTTACGAAACAACAAATATATTTTCTTCAAATGAACATTTCAGACTAAAATAATTGGTAAACAATATGAGAAAGTTGATTAAAGTATATTAATTTATGCATATGGCATTCTGTATAAACATTTAATCATATTTGTTTTTTTCATATAATTTTTTAAAATTTATATGAAACTTTATGAATTTTTTTTATTTTATATAAATTAAACATTAAATCAATCATTATCTGAATTCTGTATAAACATTTAATCATATTTGTTTTTTTTCATATAATTTTTTAAAATTTATATGAAACTTTATGAATTTTTTTTATTTTATATAAATTAAACATTAAATCAATCATTATCTGAATTAAATAATAAAATAAAAACTTTTTAATTGTAGGTCAATTTCACCGCGCGCTGTGGGTATAGGTAACAATTTGTTTATAGGTTTAGTGTTAAGAAACTAAAATAATTTAATACTGGTTAAAATGAGCTAACATTATTGTTTTTATAATAATTATATCTTGATAAAATTTTATTTGCAGTTTTTGCTTTGGGAGAGACATATTGGAGCCTTTTGTTGGCTAGATCTATACATGGTTCTGCTTCTGCTTGCTTAGGAGTTGCAGCAATGTGTGTCGTTGCTGAATTATATCCGGATGAGAATTTAAGGCAAGAATTTATTCATTCACTATTTATTATAAAATCACTTTCTGATGTTTCCACCAGAAAATCCTACTTGCTAATCTTATTTTATATTTGTGTTTCAAGTAATTCTAAATCGAATGAGACCAAATTTGGAAAATATATTGCGTGTGCATGTGAGTCGATTTTTTTACCTTTTTTCGACGTTTTCTCAAAAACGGCTGAACCGATTCAAATTTAAATCCGTTTGATGGAACTTGATGAGGACTACTAGTGTTTATCAGTTTTGCACGACGTTCGACCGAGTCGTTTCTTTTTAACTAACAGAAAAGTAAAAAAAACGTCCACGTTTCAGCCCTTGATCGATGGGCAAATAAAGCCGCACTTTCACAAAAAAATACTCTGTGTATGTATTTAGCTCGTGCTTGTTTTTCAATAATGTTTAATACATTTTTCTATTCAAAATGGGATAATCTGCATTAGTTTCTCGGTATATTTATAAATCACTTATAAATTAATATATAAATATATATATACATATATATATATATATATCATTAAATAAATATAAATATATCTTTTAACATGGCGGAAAGTTCATGTAACTTGCCTTAAGGCAAACAACTAAATTCAAAATATTTCAATAATCTTATAAATATTTTTAATTATCTTATAATTCTTACTGCACTTTAATTTATTTAAAAATCGGAAAAAAATTTTTTATTTATCTTTACGTTTCAAATGTTTCTGAACATTTTGGCATACCTTAGAAAACATGGATGTATGTGTGTACGTGTGTGTGTGCGGATATAAATTTTCGTCGACGATTTCTGGAACACTGATAAGCCGATTTAAAAAATTCAAAAAACATTTGATTCATATTGATAAGGAGACGTGCTAATTAGTTTTTGGCGAAGGCAGGTCTAGCCGTTCCTAAGATACGGGGAAAAAAGTGCCAAAAACGGTAACTCAGTTTTTAAAAAAACGGAGCGTCCGATTTTAATAATTCAAAAAAAACATTTTACTTGTATTGACAAGATGAAGAATTGATCAAATTTTCATAAAGGCAGGTCTAGCGGTTTTGGAGATCTAATGAAAAAAGTAAAAAAAAGTGCCATTTGGCGGTCAAAAATGATCATTAGACATATGCACATCAAATTATCAGATATTTTATAGAGATTTTAACAATAAGTATAAATTTTGTTTGCATTCCTATGGATTCCGTACCAATGTTTGTTCGTTAGACGGCGACGCCGCGCTTACGCGCTTTGACATTTTGTCTGTATGCAGTTAAAGCAGTACGATTGCTTTGAAGAAAAGTTCAGAATTTCCAAAATATGTCAAAATAAAGAAATCATTTTTTTTCCAAAAAAACATTTTTTTTAAAAGAAAGTAATTTTTTGTCAAATTCCTAGTTTCTCAAAAATCTATTTTTTTCGAAGTAATTTTTTTTCAAAAATGTTAATCGTTTTTGAAAAAATAATAATATTTGGTACGAGAAGTTGCAGCAATTTGCCTTAAGGCTAGATGCCATGCGCCCCACTAGTTTGTCACTGTTATTTACGTACTAATCACAAACAATTATAAATTAAGGATATTTGTGTTTGATATTAAGTTTTATTACTATTGTTTGTAACTTCGACAGTTTTTTTCTTTAAATAAATGTTAATAACTTGGATTTGCATTTTTTAAATGTACATCTATTAGTTATGTTTGAAAGAAACTCAAATCTCTCTAAAAAAAAACAAGAAATTCCAAAAAGTGTATTATCTTAACAAAATTGACACCAAATTTTATATACATATGAAATTTTTGCAGGTCTCGTATAATGGGAATAGTACTTGGGAGCATTGCATTGGGAGTACTAATAGGGTACCCATTTGGGAGCTTCCTATATGCCTTCTTGGACAAAAGTGCTCCTTTCTACATTATCACAGTTTTAATCACAGCTGTTTTAGGTAAACCAAATTGAAATTAACTAAAAGCTTAAACTTTGATTATAATTGTAATTGATATGATTTAATTATTTATAATAATTCTTCTTACTCATATAGTTGTGCAATTTTATTACATGGATCTGCATAAGAAATGTGAAGTATGTACATCATTTTTAAAAACGCCTTAAGCATATTGTTAAAATATCATTTATTTACATAAAAATGAATACTTACATAACCATTGTAAGCTGTATCAAATTATATTCAAATCATATATAGATTTTTCTAATGGAAGAGAATTCATATTATTACCTTTTGCAAAAACTGTCCTTGTAAATTATTAAAATCTTAGTGATGATTCAATCAATAACGTTAATAATTTAATTTATGTTTTTTAATTTGAATTATTTTTATTGAGCAAAGTTCTGTTTAACACTAAGTTTGCGCAGTCTGTCAATTTGACGGAATTTGAACTTTGAGAAAAAGCTCAAAAAATGTAACACTAATCTTAACAAATTTCTTTCGTAAATTCATAATTTGACTAATATATATTATATAAACAAATATAATTAATTTTTGAAATTAAGAAGTGGTATAGCTTTTGATGGCAAAAAATGATCATATATTTGTTTCACTTATAATATAATGCCTTCAACTAAATATAAACTTGATTACATCATGGTATTTCGTTTACAAGCAAATTGCTAACAAAAATCATCTTTTGACTCGAAATGGGGACTTGACTTCAAAAAAAATATACCGTCAGAAAAAATTCAGTCTATTTTGGGCATCGAACATCAATTTCAAAAAAGGACGTACAATAAAATCAGAATTTGTAATATGCATGTTAATATTTGTTTTATAATTATGGTATTTAGAAGAGGTTATTAGAACAGAACATAATTTTTAGAATCTTCAATATTCATCAACAAGTGTGAAAGAGTTATTGAGCGACAAATTGATCCTCATTATAAGTGGAGCAATTTGCGTATCAACGTCTGTAATGTCGATATTAGAACCTTGTTTACCAATTTGGCTCATGACCAGAATCAAACCTAAGGCTAGTCAGATATTCTTATATTCAACTTAAACTGAAATTAAAAACCTGAAATCTAGTTCTGTTACAGAAATGGCAGTTAGGCACTGTATTTCTGCCTGATAGTATTGGTTATCTCGTTGGGACAAACTTTGTTGGCGGGTTGGCGTATTCATTTGGACAATGGAAAGTTTCCATTTGCGCTCTGATTCTTGTTGGTTTTTCAAGTATATTAGTAAGATTGTCGTCATGTATCAAAAGTTGGAAGAAATCCTATAGCGACAATCCTATAATATAATTCTAGATTCCTACTGCAAATACGGTCTCTGAGCTTATATGGCCGCATTTTTTTCTTGGATTGGGAATTGGAACCTTGGATGCTTCATTAGTACCACTCTTAGCAACACTAGTTGATCTGAGACATTGTGAAGGTACGTTCTAAGCTTTTGTAAATATTTTAAGTTGTTTTGTAAAATTATAGCGAGTTGCAAATGCTAATTTTCATTATACTCATAGATAAATTATGTAAACGTAAAATTTAGAGTAAAAGAAGGGTATAAAAAAAGAAAATATAGAGTACAAATAGAATAAAAATAAGAATAAAGAATAATGAAAATTATATAATTTAAGCTTATTCAATAACTTAAAATACTTAAGTATGTATATATTGTTAGCGAAATATATATTTTAGGGCACATATTATTTTATTATTATTATTATTATATTTTTTAAATATTATTATATTAGTTAATATTATTTGATTTAATCATTATGGCATGATTTTGAAAAATAAGAGAAGGTTTTCAAACAGGAGGCTTATTTCATTTTGTGTATAAATGTATGATTATGTTCGGAGATTAAAAGTAATATAAACCGAGTTATATTGTGTTTATAATTAGCCAATAGTCGGCTAACAATATGTATATATAAAGCGGTACTATATATATATATATATATATATTAGGGTGGTCCTTAAAATGGTCATTTTTGAATTTCCTTGCTCCCAGGGGCTCAAATGGTTCCAAATAGATAAAAAACAATTCTCTGAAAGTTCTAGCTCTTAATATTAACGTTTAGATAGAGCGCAATTCAATCAAAGTTTTGTATGGAAATAGCATGGAAAAATTTTCAAAAATTTTAAAAATGTTTTTTAGATGTAATTTAGCAAACAAATGAATGAATAAAACTCATTCATTTGTCGCTAAGTTACACCTAAAACATTTTTTTTTAATTTTCAAAATTTTTTCCATGCTCTTTCCATACAAACTTTGATTGAATTGCGCTCTATCTAAAAGACAATATTAAGGGCTAAAACTTTCAGAGAATTGTTTTTTATCTATTTGGAACCATTTGAGCCCCTGGGAGCAAGGAAATTCGAAAATGACCTTTTTAAGGACCACCCTAATATATATATATATATATATATATATATATATATATTTAATGTTTTCTTAACATTTTTAGGTTTGGGCACGCATTATGGAGCTGTCTATGCTTTACAACAAATGGCTGTCAGTTTGGCTTACTCCTTGGGTAGTGTTTCTTCTAATTATTTATGATTTTGAAATTTTCTTTCATAAAACGAAATAAGTATTTTCTACATTCATATATAATATATTCAATATCAAAAGCATTGTTGTGACAACAGATTTGATATTAACTTGATATTTTATTCAGCTCCAATATTAGGTGGCGAATTTGCTCAATCTATTGGATTTTCGAATCTTATGCGTATTATGGGTATATTAAATTTGATGTACAGTCCTCTACTGATTTATTTGATGAGGGGATATGAAATACGTCGTGAAGACAGCGAAGAAAATATTCCAATTCATGTAAGATTTCTATTTCATTTCAAATTTAAATTAAATAGTTTTTTTTAGACATTGTTTTCTCTTACAGCAATCATGTCCAATATTCGAAAATGACAGAAAACTACTCAGTAAATCTGCTGGTAATAAATATACTAGATTATAAATATAATTGTAAATACATATAGGTATATGTTGTATTGTGATACAACATATATTTAATTAACATAATAAATTAAAATAGTCCACGATTTTTCCCCAAATGTTTTTTCCCCAACATTTTTTCCTAAAAAATCAAAGACATTAGTTCAGCGATTTCCAACCTGTGGGGCACGCTTTCACAGGGGAGCCCCCAGGAGGGCGCGTAGCTATCCAAAAATATTATTTTTAAATGCTGAGTAAGTGTCAAAAACAAATCAGCAAAAAACATGCAAGAAATCCACAATTTTCGTTGTTATTTTGTCAGGACAAATGTAACAGCATGAATATACTATACTTTTGGTGCAAACAAAATATTTGGTTTTTGCGTTTGTAGCCGAGTTTCTTCGCAAAATAGTAAAACTAAAAATAATGATCCAATGATCCAATGTACTTATCATTGGGATTTATATATAAGATCATTAATGGTCAAGAACGACCAATGTGTTTGCTGTGTATGTCTACTTTGGCCTCAGATAGCATGAAATCAAATACATAAATTAAAACGACATCTGGAAAAAGTGCACGCTGACCATGTTGCAAAAACAAAAAAATGTATTTTTTTCTATTGTGTATTATTTGGTACGCTCAGGAGAGCAGAAAATCGATTTTTTAACTTCCCGTAGGGCAAGTTATAGTAATCGCAAGAAAATCGAAATCGAAAATTTTTATATATCTTTACGTTTCAGAGGTTTCTGAATATTTTGGCATACCTTAGAAAAAATAGATGCATATGTGTGTGTGTGTGCGTGTATGTATGTATGTGCGGATACAAATTTTCGTCGACTATTTCGGGAACACCGATCAACCGATTTGAATAATTCAAAAAACATTCGATTTGTATTGATAAGGAGACGTGCTGATTAGTTTTTTGCGAAGGCAGGTCTGGCCGTTCCGAAGATACGGGGCAAAAAGTGCCAAAAATGGTAACTCAGTTTTTAAGAGAACGGAGCGTCCGATTTTAATAATTCAAAAAGCATTTTACTTGTATTGACAAGATGAAGCATTGATAAATTTTCATGAAGGCAGGTCTAGCGGTTTCGGAGATCTAATGAAAAAAGTATAAAAAAATTCCATTTGGCGGTCAAAAATGATCATTAGACATATGCACATCAGATATTTTATAGAGATTTTAACAATAAGTATATTTTGTTTTTACATTTCTATCGGTTCCGTACCAATGCTTATCCGTTAGACAGCGGCGCGGCACTTACGCGATTTGACATTTCGTCGCTATGCAGTTCAAGCAGTACGATTGCTTTGAAAAAAAGTTCAGAATTTCCAAAATAGGTCAAAATGAAGAAAACATTTTTTTTTTTCAAAAAAAATTTTTGTTTTCAAAAAAAAAATTTTTTTTTCAAGAAAAAGTAATTTTTTGTCAAATTTATAGTTTCTCAAAAATCTAATTTTTTCGAAGTAATTTTTTTTCAAAAATGTTAATCGTTTTTGAAAAAATAATAATAATAATACAGCAAATTGCCTTAAGGCGCCCCACTAGTTACTTTTAACATTGTTTCTATGGCAGTTTTTTATCTTTTTTTTTTTTGAAGATTTTGTGCTGAACTCAATTACATGATCACGGTCATTTTTATATAAATCTCAATGATAACATGGTATATGAAATAATTCAACATAAGTAGTCCAAATAGAGATTAATTTGAATAAATGAAATGGGGATAGAATATACGCATATAAAACATATTTTATTTTTGTATAAAATACAAAACAAAAAAATTAAACGCGCAAGTTATACACGTACTTTTTTTATTTTTTATTTATTTGATAAATTTCTATCTTTCAATCAATATGTGGTACAATGTCGAGTGTAATATATTATGCACTTCTACCAAATACTAATTTTTGCAATTTATATATGGTGACTAAGGAAACTTTAATAAGCTAGTTACATATCAATATCAATAATGCTAACAGTAAGTGAAAAAATGAAAACAAAAAACACTATTCGTTAAATTACAACTTGCAAAAACAACGTTTTTGACCAAAAATTTTAACTGTTAACCTCTACAACAAAATTTTTGCACGCAAAATACAGGACTTAGCTTTATCCGAACTTCGGATTACCGGAATATCGGAATATCGGAATAATATCGCAATAATATCGGAATATCGGAATATCGGAATATCGGATTATCAGAATATTGGATTATCCGGACTTCGGACTATCTGGACGTCGGATTACCCGCACTTCGGAATATCCGGACTTCGGACTATCTGGACGTCGGATTACCCGCACTTCGGAATATCCGGACTTCGGACTATCTGGACGTCGGATTACCCGCACTTCGGAATATCCGGACTTCTGATTATCTAGACTTCCGATTTTCCGGACTTCCGATAATCCGGACCTTCGATTTTCCGGACTTCCGATTATCCGTACTTCCGATTATCCGCACTTCCGATAATCCGGACCTTCGATTTTTTGGACTTCCGATTATCCGTACTTCCGATTATCCGTACTTCCGATTATCCGTACTTCCGATTATCCGGACTTCCGAATATCCGGGCCTTCGATTATCCGGACTTTCGATTATGCGGACCTTTGATTATCCGGACTTTCGATTATCCGGACTTCCGATAATCCGCACCTTCGATTTTTCGGACTTCCGATTATCTGTACTTCCGATTATCCGGACTTCCAATTGTCCGGATTTCGATTTTTTCGACTTTCAATTTTCCCGACTTCTGATTATCCGTACTTCCAATTATCCGGATTTCCGATAATACGCACCTTCGATTTTCCGGACTTTCGATTATCCGTACTTCCGATTATCCGTACTTCCGATTATCCGTACTTCCGATTATCCGGACTTTTGATTATCCGGATCTTTGATATTCCGGACTTCCGATTATCCGGACTTTGAATCATCCGGACTTCCGATTATCCGATTTTTCAATTATCCGGATTTCCGATTATCCGGACCTTCGATTTTCCGGACTTCCAATTATCCGTACTTTCGATTATCCGGACCTCTCATTATCCGGATTTCCGATTATCCGGACTTCTGATTGTTTGGACTTCCGATTGTCCGGACTTCTGATTATCCGGACATCCGATTTTCCGGACTTCTGATTATCTGGACTTTCGATTATCTGGACTTCGGACTATCCGGACGTCGGATTATCCGGACTTCGGATCATCCGGACTTTCGATTATCCGGACTTCCGATAATCCGAACCTTCGATTTTCCGGACTTCCGATTATCCGCACTTTCGATTATCCTGACTTCCGATAATCCGGACCTTCGATTTTCCGGACTTCCGATTATCCGGACTTCCGATTATACGGACTTCCGATTATCCTGACCTTTGATCATCTGGACTTCTGATTATCCGGACTACTGATTGTCCGGATTTCCGATCATCCAGACTTCCGATCATCCTGACTTTGGATTATCAGGACTTTGGATTATCCGGACTTTGCTTTATCCGGACTTTGCTTTATCCGGACTTCGGATTATCGGAATATCGGAATATGGGAATATATGAATATCTGAATATCGGAATAATATCGGAATATCGGAATATCGGATTATCGGAATATCGGATTATCGAAATATCGGATTATCGGATTATCTGGACTTCGAACTATCCCGACGTCGGATTATCCGGACTTCCGATTATCCGGACTTCCAATAATCCGGACCTTCGATTTTCCGGACTTCCGATAATCCGCACCTTCGATTATCCGGACTTCCTATTTTCCGGACTCCCGATTATCCGGACTTTCGATCATCCGGACTTTGGACCATCCGGACGTCGGATTATCCGGACTTCAGATTACCTAGACTTCCGATTATCCGGACTTCCGATAATCCGGACCTTCGATTTTTCGGACTTCCGATTATCCGTACTTCCGATCATCCGTACTTCCGATTATCCGGACTTCCAATCATCCGGATATCCGATAATCCGGACTTCCAATTATCCGGATTTCCGATAATCCGCACCTTCGATTATTTGGACTTCCGATTATCCGGACCTTCGATTTTCCGGACTTCCGATTATCCGGATCTTTGATATTCCGGACTTCCGACTATCCAGACTTCCGATTATCCGGACCTTCGATTATCCGGACTTCCAATAATCCGGACTTCCGATTATCCGGACTTCCGATTATCCGGACTACCAAATTTTTTTTGACCTAAATTTTTTCTCCCAAAACTTTTTTGACCAAAATTTTCTCTCCCAAAGCTTTTTTGACCAAAATTTTTTTCCAAAAATTGTTTTGACGAAATTTTTTTTGACGAAATTTTTTTTGACGAAATTTTTTGACCAAACTTTTTGACCAAAATTTTTTTGACCGAAATTTTTTTGACCAAAATTTTTTTGACCAAAATTTTTTTGACCAAAATTTTTTTTCCAAAAATTTTTTTGACCAAAATTTTTTTGACCAAATTTTTTTTGACCAAACATTTTGACCAAAATTTTTTTGACCAAAATTTTGTGACCAAAAATTTTTTTCCACAAATTTTTTTGACCTAAACTTTTTTGACCAAAATTTTTTTGACCAAAATTTTTATGACCAAATTTTTTTTGACCAAGTTTTTTTGACCAAACTTTTTTGACCAAAATTTTTTTGACCAAAATTTTTTTCACCAAAAATTTTTTTCCAAAAATTTTTTTCAAAAATTTTTTTGACCAAAATTTTTTTGACCAAAAATTTTTTGACCAAAATTTTTTGACCAAATTCGGACCTTTGATGATCCGTACTTCTGATTATCCGGACTACTGATTGTCCGGACTACTGATTGTCCGGACTTTCGATCATCCGGACTTCCGATCATCCTGACTTTGGATTATCAGGACTTTGGATTATCCGGACTTTGCTTTATCCGGACTTCGCTTTATCCGGACTTCGGATTATCGGAATATCGGAATATGGGAATATATGAATATCTGAATATCGGAATAATATCGGATTATCGGATTATCGGATTATCTGGATTT